TTCTTAACACTTAGCATTGCCAGTATTTAAAGAAGTTTTCTTTTATGTTTACTATTTTTGAGACAGAGAGCAAGGAGGGGAGAGGCAGAGAGAGAGAGGGAGACACAGAGTCTGAAACAAGCTCCAGGCTCTGAGCTGTCAGCACAGAGCCCGATATGGGGCTTGACCTTGAGAACCATGAGATCCTGACCTTAGTGGAAGTCACACTTAACTGACTGAGCCACCTAGGTGCCCCAATCATAGCCATTTCATTCATTCATTCATTTGTAAATGTTTTATTTTTTATTTTTTATTTTTGAGGGAGAGAGAGAGAGACAGAGCATGAGTAGGGGAGGGTCAGAGAAAGAGAGGAAGACACAGAATCTGAAGCAGGCTCCAGGCTCTGACATGGAGCTCGAACCTTGGAACAGTGAGATCATGACCTAGGCTGAAGGGGATGCTCAATTGACTGCGCTACCCAGGTGCCCCTATTAAAGCCATGTTAAATGAAGTCCATCTAAAGTGTCTTGGGCCTTCCAACATTTTTTTACAGTTTATTTTATTTTTGAGAGCGAGTGAGCAGGGGAGAGCAGAAGAAAGAGAAGGAGAGAGAGGATCCCAAGCAGGCTCCCCATTGACCAGGCAGAGCCCAACACAGGGCTCCATCCCACGAACTGTGAGATCATGCATGATCTGAGCAGAAATCAAGAGCTGGGTGTCTAACTGACAGAGCCACTCAGCGCCCCTGGCCTTCCGATGTTTTTCAGCAGAATGTAAGTGAAATGGTTCATCTGTTTCAGATAACTAACTTCTGATATTTTGAATAGTCGCTCTTTTTGCTGTGAGCGATCCTTTTTTAATGCCGCCTTTGTGGCTCACTCTGCAGCCTTCTACTCCTTCACCAGCAGAGAAGAAACTAGAATGGTGACACTGTGTGTTAGAGTTTGTGTGCCCCAAGTCCTTCTAAGTGCTCTTTCAGGGCCACAGAGGTGCACCTGTCTGCATTCTGTTGGCAGACTTCAGACAGAAAAGTTTTCTACCCATTGCCCGCACAGGACCCCTCCCAGAGCCCCTTTCCCTCCATCTGCCTCGTCTGCTGGGGACAGGAAGTCGTTGACTGTAGTCACCACTCCAGGGAAAACAGTGTTCGGCTGATGACCGGTGGACTCAGCCCTTCTCTGTAGGGGCAGGGTGGGGTTGCGGAGAAAAAGGAAGGGTGTGCCGGGGAAGGTGAGGGGCCCACAAAGTGAAAAGCCAGCAGGGACCAGCTGCTGCCAGGGAACGTGGGAATCTGCTTATCTGGCTTATGTCAGAAGGCCCGCCCTCCTGAAATCCTAAGTGCCGTTCACATGCTAGTTCACGTGAGATTCATTTAAAGGATCTTACAAAAGATTGGGCCTCTTTCCAGTCTTAATTCAGAGTGAATTCCAGGTGATTCATATAGTCTTCCTGGTTCCACTTTCTCTCTTTGTTATATGTAACCAGCCTTCCATGAGAAAATGATCAAGTTGGTGGGGGGAGTGCCCAGAGAGGACATCTAATTTTGCCTCCCTGCCCATCCAAGAACACCACGATTTTATGTTTGTGAATCTGCCTTCTTTAAATACATTTGGGTGGCTCAGTCGATTAAGCGTCCGACTTCGGCTCAGGTCATGATCTCGCAGTTCGTGAGTTTGAGCCCCACGTCAGGCTCTTTGCTGACAGCTCGGAGCCTGGAGCCTGCTTCAGATTCTGTGTCTCCCTCTCTCTCTGTGCCTCCCTTACTCATCTTCAACCTCTCTCTCAAAAATAAATAAAAACTTAAATTAAAATGAATAAATGAAGAATTTTGGAATTGATCAGTGCCTATCTTGATCTTTATTAAGACGTTTATTAATATTTTTTTAGGTGTCTGTGAGGGCAGTGCTTTATAAACACAGAATACCCTGAGTCCTTTAATATTCTATGTGATCCTATTCACCTATAGAACAGTTGAATTTAAAGATGATGTAAAAATGCTCAGTGAATTAAATATCAGTAATTATTATTCTCTTGAGAGACTGTCCAGGGTTGGTAGACTGTAACCACGAAAGTCATTTGTTTATTATCTGTATGCAATTCTTTCATATCCTTTGGCTGTTTTGTTTTGTTTTTGTTTTTGTTCTTTGTTTTTTGGGTTTTTTTTTTTGCATTGTTTCTTTTCTGTTTGGCTCAGGTTTGGTTTGAGAATTGAGTAAGTTAAGCCCCAGAACTTTTATAATCTATGGATTAAACGGGAGCCTCACGAGGCTAACGTCCCAACATCAGTCGATAAACAGGATTGTGTGTGTGAAAGGGGTTTCCACAGCTTCACACAGAGAGAATGTTCCCTTGCGTAACCATATAGAAGACTGGCCTAATGTTCAATGTTTAGTATAAGTCAAAACGCAAGTGAATCTCCCACTTCCTTTTAGTTGGGAACATTTTAAGTGAGACAGTCACAGAAGATAACAAAAATCAGTGGCTTAGTCACACTCCCAAGTATTTACTTTTTTCCCCAGGTTCTTTAATTTGTATTGAATTTGAAGTAAGCTCACTGAATTCACATTGGATCTGATTTCCACAGGTAGCCATAGCACATCACACTGCTGCCATTCCCTCAAAGGAACGAGAACGTTCTGTCATTACTGATTTTGGTCCCCACTGGACTGCTTCCTTGTATAACTTCTCTTTGGAAAGTTTGAAGTCATCAAGATAACCAGCCTTCCCTCTCAGACAGACATTCGGGGCAGCAGCCTTTCTCCTGGCAGCTCTTCCTTCCGTTCCGTGTTTCCTCTCCCAGGGCCGCAGGTGTGTGTAAAACACATACCCCGGAAGAAAAAAAGTTTTCATGTTTGCTTTCTGCCCATCAGCCTCCCCCTAGAAGAGCAGGGAAGGAGGGGCATTGAAACATGCAAAAAAGAATGTTTTCTCGCACACATGCTAAGTCACAAGGGGTGTCAGCAGGGGATCTTCTGTTTGAGGGCATTTAAGAGAAAGGGTGATAGCCAGCCCCGCCTCCCCAAAACCCCACCACCTGCCCTTAAGGGATCATTATTGTTTTTGTGGATTATAGAAGTCCTACCCACTAAGTGTCATGAATATGAGCCATATATATAAGGTAGAAGGTGAAGGTTCTCCATAGTTGGTGGTGCCATTTAAGGGGTGTATGTACACGTGTGTATATTGTCAACATGAGGGGAATGGGACCCAGTATGCAGTTCTGTAACCTGCTTGTTTTCACGGAATATTACCAGGTCTTTGCTAGGGCAGTGTCTGCACATCTGTCTGCAGCATTCTTCAGATGCATCAGACTTGATTTACATAAGCCCTTCTTAATGGACATTACGGTCATTTCCCATATTTTTCGATATTCTAACCCTCTGTTCCACATGCTAGCCACCAGCCCTGTGTAGCAATTCAACTTAATTAAAATTGCATGACGTTTAAATATCAGTTTGCAGTCACGTTAGCCGCATTTCAAGGGCTCGGTAGCCATATGTGCCTAGCACAGAAGTAGAGCTTCCCCTTCATTGCATGAAGTTCTCTTGGACAGTCTGTTAGCAGGTTTTCAGACTTTTTTTTGAGTGCATTTTCCATTTCTTTATTCATCCGTTCAACAAATAATTACTGAGTGCCTCCTCTGTGCCAGGCAGGCACTGTGCTAGGTACTTGGATGTTTTGCTCATAAAACATAAACACCTGTCCTCATAATGCTTAACACTCTATCAGCAAAAGGTTTTCAGTACTCATTCCCAGTAAATGTATGTGTATTACAAGTTGCGTATGTATCCTATTAAGTTGTCGTATTATAAAACGTAATATATGGAAACAATGAAAATAGGAATGAAAAAGAATAAGTCAAAAAAGGAAATACTTTCCAAAATAGTCCTCCTGTGTCACATCTTGGAGACTATCTTTTTGAACGATGCTCTTGTAGGATGTAGCCATGTCTAAAGGTTTTGTAGTGCTGGGGCGCCTGGGTGGCTCACTCGGTTGAGCACCTGACTTGGGCTCAGGTCCTGATTTCACGAGTTCAAGCCCCGCATCAGGCTCTGTGCTGACAGCTCAGAGCTTGGAGCCTGCTTCCAATTCTGTATCTCCCTCTCTCTTTGCCCTTCCCCTGCTCGCACTCCGTCTCTCTCTCTCAAAAAAATAAACATTAAAAAAATCTTTAATATAAATAAATAAAGGTTCTTGTAGTGCTGAAATGAAATTGTTCTCACATTTTAAATAGGTAGTCCTATTTTGATATTCCTTCGAAATCTATTTATTTCATAAAAGACCTCTTTTTATTCCCTATCTGTAGACTTTTTTCTACTGTTTGAATTTGTTCTGTTACATATTCATTTAGTAATTTTTTATGAAGTGCATACCGTATGCTGGGCTGTGCTGGGAAATTGAACAAGTCAGGGCTCCTGCTCCCAAATGACACAGGCCAGCAAGTCACTTATTCTAATACAAGGTGTTATGGAAACACAGGGAAGGGGCATATTAAGAGGGATCTTCTTTGGGAGAGTGGAGGACAGCTTTCATGAACATGATCTCCTCTTTGCTGAGTTATTGCGCTCTGTTTTGGGATTTAACGGAATCACATTTTTCTCCAAGCGATACTATTTTTCTCCATGGTATTTTCTTTTCTTTTGGAAAATAGAAAGTTCTAAATAATTGATTTAAGAATACTAAGCCAGTGTTGATTGTCACATTAAATATCTCTTTACGTTAAATGCTTACCATAAACTTAGAGCCTAGCGATGGAAGGGCTCTATGTAGAACAAAGGTGAAGTCCAAATAATTATTAGCTCCTGCAAAATCATCCCTGGAGGTGTGTGTGTATTCATGCCTTTATTTAACAAATATTTATGAAATACCCTCTATGCTGGAAGAAAGCACTTAATTCCAAAATAAATTTCTCACATGGGCTTTTAGTTAGGGAATTCTGAAGAATATAATGGGTAATGCTCTTTACAGTAAACTTAAAATGAAAGAATTGATCATGTGTTTGTCTTTTCCCTCTCTTTTAGGGCAAGTTAAAGTGTTCAGAGCTCTTTATACGTTTGAACCCAGAACGGTAAGTATTGAGTTTTTAACTTTAAAATTGGCGTAAAAACCTAAGTGGATTTCATTTAGATAACTTCCTCTGGCCTTTTCTTTGCTAGTCATAAAAGATTCATAGGAGCGGATGCTCACTTATTTCCGCGTGGTCCAGAGGTGTGGAAGCTAAGTCCCTGGACTGATCTGAATGTCTTCCCCACCTTGAGTTCATGTCGTCCGTCCTGTGTGGCTTCTTCCCACATGGTGACACCACCTGAAAAATCACTAAGTGCCCTGCACATAAAGTGCATGACCTTATCTTAGTTACCCTGCCGTGAATTTCACACTGACCTTCCTTGTTCTTCCTGTCGACCCTCTACCTCAGGCCACCTCGTAATCGCACCTTTTACAACCATCTAGAGCAATGTTTTTTTCTTTCCAAGATTTTCTATAAGTTCAAGTTAGTTAACATACAGTGTCGTATTGGCTTCAGGAGTAGATCTGCATGATTCATGACTTACGTACGACACCCCCAAGTGCCCTCCTTAATGCCCATCACCCACTTAGCCCATCCCCCACCTCCCCTCCAGCAGTTAGTTCTGTCTGGAGCAATTTTCTGTGTTTCTGCCGTGTACACATTCCATTGTTACAGTTTCTGGGGTCCATCCATCAATCCACGCATCCATCCTGGATTCAGTGAGCACTTACTATGTGCCAGCCCAGGCCTTGGAGATAGTGCCACCTCAACAGAAAGCGGGGGCGGGGGGGTCTCACAGAGCTGCCGTCCCAGTGCGGGGAGACAGACAACAGATGAACATGACTGTGAGGGCCTGGTAGGTGCTCTGAAGAAGAATAAGGAGCCTACAGGGCCAAAAGGAGAAAAAAAGAGTGTTGTTTTCAACAGGGTGTTCGGGGATGGCCTTTCCATAAGGGTGACTATTGAGTAGAGACCTGAGGGAGGTGAGAGAGCCAAGGGAACAGCAAGGAGTGTCTTTGATGAGTTCTAGAAACAGCAGGGATGATAGCAGCGTAGAACGTCATGAATGAGGGAGCAGGAGGTAGGAGATGGGTTCAGAGATTCTGGGCGGAGAGGGAGGGCAGATCGTGTAGGGCTCATGGGGCTCATTTGGATTTTGCCCTGGGTACGATGGAGGGTGGTTTTTTAAAAATTTTTTTTAAAAATTTGTTTATTTTATTTTATTTTTTTAATTTTTTTTAAAAAATATTTTTATTTACTTCTAGGAGAGAGAGAGACACAGCGTGAGCAGGGGAGGGTCAGAGAGAGAGGGAGTCACAGACTCTGAAAGAGGCTCCAGGCTCTGAGCTGTCAGTCAGCACAGAGCCCGACGCGTGGCTCGAACCTACGAACCGCGAGATCATGACCTAAGCGAAAGTTGGACGCTTAACCAACTAAGCCACCCAGGTGCCCCGAAATTTGTTTATTTTGTAGAGAGAGACAGAGACAGAGTGCTAGTGGGGGAGGGGCAGAGAGAGAGGAAAACGCAGAATTGGAAGTAGGCTCCAGGCTCTGAGCTATCAGCATAGAGCCCAATGCGGGGCTCAAACTCACGAACCACAAGATCATGACCTGAGCCAAAGTTAGATGCTTAACTGACTGAGCCACCCAGGCGCCCTCTTTTTTTTTAATTAAAAAAAATTTTTTTAAGTTTATTTATTTTGAGAGAGACTGAGAAAGCCTGCAAGGGAGGAGCAAAGGGAGACTGAATGAGAGAGAGGGAGAGAGAATCCCAAGCAGGTTCCAGACTGTCAGCTCAGAGCCTGATGTGGGGGATCGAACTCACAAACCTTGAGATCACTGCCTGAGCTGAAACCAAGAGTTGGACGCTTAACCAACCCAGCCACCCAGGCACTGGAAGATGGAGGGTTTTGAGTGCAGGATTGATTAGCTAAGTTTTAGAAGGATCACTCTCCATGAGGTGTGGGGAACCATCCCGGAGAGCAAGGCGGGGAGCAGTGTGTCCAGACGGTTAGGAGGCAGAGGAGAGAGAGACCCAGCAAGGGCACCTGCTCTCTTGACCGTGTGGCCTTACTCGCTGGAGATGGGAGCCTTCCTGCCCGAGGCTGTCAGCCTGCTGCTGGCTTTGTCTGGGCTTGTCCCGGACCCTGTTGCCCCGAGTCGGACGCCTCAGAAGCTACCACAGAACAGGTATCAGGGAGTCAGGGCCATCAGGCTGAGGCCCGCCTTCAGATTCCGGATCTGTCATGTGCTCATGGCGAATTGCCTCAACCTGTGGCCATGCGTTTCCTCGTTTGAAAACGGGAATACGATTGGCCGTCCTACGGAATTCCGCTGTGAGCGTGGGAGGAGATCAGTTTTTGAGCCCAGCATGTGGGGAGCATCAGTAAGAGGCAGCAGGGAGTCCGGCCAGTGCGGGGTGTGCTCCTGATCAGATGAGTTCTCCCAAGACTTTAAATCCACAAACGTTCCTGGATCAAGAAAAGGGTTGGGGGGTGGGGGAGGTAGAGGTAAATCTCTGGTTTTTATTCTTCCTACCAAGAAGTCCCAGTGGCGTCTCTCCTGTGGTGCCGGGAGGGTGGGGAATGAATGTGGGGGGCGGTTAGCTTGCCGGGGCTGCCTTAGCTGAGTGCTGCAGGCTCCGTAGCTCAACCGACAGACATTTTTCTTAGAATTTTGGAGGCCAGAGGTCACACTGCGGTGTTGACAGAGTCGATTTCTTCTGAAGCGTCTCTCTGTGACTTGTAGATGATCAAGTTCTCCCTGTGTCCACCCATGGTCTTTCCTCTGTGCTTGTTTGTGTCCCAATCTGCTCTTCTTTTTTTAATTTTTTAGTGTTTATTTATTTTTGAGAGAGAGAGAGAGATCAAGCGAGCAGGGGAGGGGCAGAGAGAGAAGAAGACACAGAATCTGAAGCAGGCTCCAAGCTGTCAGCACAGAGCAGGACGTGGGGCTCGAACTCACAAACTGAGATCGTGGCCTGAGATGGAGTCAGACACGTAACCAGCTGAGCCACCCAGGTGCCCCAATCTGCTCTTCTTAAAAGAACACCAGTCAGATTATGGATTAGCACTCACTCTAATGACCTAATTTTAATTTAATTACCTCTTTAGAGAGCCTGTCTCAGGGCACCTTGGTGGCTCAGTTGGTTAAGCGCCCGACCCCGGCTCAGGTCTTGATCTTGTGGCTTCTGAGTTCAAGCCCCGCGTCTGGCTCTGTGCTGACAGCTCGGAGCCTGGAGCCTGCTTCTGATTCTGTGTCTCCCTCTCTCTCTCTCTGTCCATCCCTGGCTTGTGCTCTCTCTCAAAAAACAAATAAATAAACATTAAAAAAAAAATCTGTCTCCACATACACTCACGTCTGAGGTATTGAGGGTTAGGACTTCAACATACGAATTTTGGACGGGGGACAAGGGACACAAAAAGGTAAGGAAGTATGAGGCCCAGAAGCCGTTGACTCTGTCCATCCCCTGCTCATCAGAAGGCTATCATTTCATGCGTCCAATCGGCCTAATCAGTTGTTTCCTAGATTACAAGACCCCTGAGGTCGATAAGAGTTGAGGGGTGGGGGCGCTGCTTGTCAGCTGCCTCCTGGGCTGGCCAGTGACCAGCTCATTGTCTCCAGCCCCCTCACTCCGGGCAGGGACCCGCGTGTACTCAGTGTGGGACTTGTTGGTCATCACCTTTGTCCTTCCTCACGGACCTCCTGGTCCTTGAGTTGTCTTGTCCTTTTTCCTGCTTCTGGCACGTGGACTCCAGCCTCTCCATTCCATCTGCGCCCTGCAGAGCTACGGTGTGGCTTTGACCCCATAGCCTGCTTCAACGCTATTTGACTTCGCAGAGAGTCCCCTCCAGGCCAGCGCCTTTCCAGCCCCGCAGTCCTCTCTCTGCTCCTTCCCTGTCTTGGACCGGTCCAGTCCGCAGGGGATGCACAGGGGAACCCGTCTCTGAACCCTTTCTGGACCCATGGTATTGCCTTTCTAGGCTCGAATAGCACAGCCATCCCTCCTTTTCCGTGAAGACTCTGATTAACCCGCCTAAGAGCGGGGCGCCTCTTCCCCCTCCGAACCTACGCACGTGGCATCTCAGCCCCGCTCACCGGCCCCGTGTCTGGGACGGCAGCGGAACAGGCCTGCTCAGAGCTGGCGGTGAATCTTAGGACCCGCACTGCCTCTTTAGCGTCCGTGTGACCTGGGAAATTGAGAAAGTCCCTAACGTCTGTGCGTCCGTGTGCTCCTCTGTAAAGTGAGGAGTCTCATAGGGTTCTAGTGAGACGTGGGGGAGGTTAAGTGTGGGAAGCTGCTGTTGCCCTAAGGAGGAGGGGCGGTCGCCCTAATCATAGACATTTAGCGAACAGTTTTGATTGGTTAGCATATTGATGATTTTAATTCACATCCAGTTCTGCTCCAGGATGGAATCTCTCTACTGCTTTCAGAAATCTTAGTTATTATTGGGGTGCCTGGGTGGCTCAGCTGGTTAAGCTTCTGACTATTGACCTCAGCTCAGGTCACGATCTTACGGTTTGTGAGTTCGAGCCCCACGTCGGGCTCTGTGCTGACACCACGGAGCCTGCTTGGGATTCTCTCCCTCTCTCTCTCTCTCTCTGCCCCTTCCCGGCTTGTGCTCGCTCTCTCTCTCTCTCTCTCTCTTTCTCAAAAATAAATAAACTTCAAAAAAATCTGTTATTATTGAATATACAGAAGAAAATGGATATTTAATTCGTTAGGTTTTTTGAATAGTCGATATTTAAAATGCTAGTTTTTAAACATGCCCTCAGCTGTGGGGCAGTGCTGCTAATTCATCCGGGATGTATTGGGTGGTTGGTAATAAGTCCCCTCCCCTACGCCCGCTGCCCCCACACTCTGTCCCTTTCTACCTCCCTTGATCCCTATGTTAAAGGGGAGGTAGGTGTCTGTCCAGGCCGGTGGCCTCTAGCTCCCGTGGGCCTTCCTGACTGGCGAAGTGCCTGTGATTTACCGGTTATTCGATATATTTGGAATCTCATCCCAGAACTAGTTTAGTTTCACATTTCTTTTTCTGAATGAGAATTCCTGTTGGACGATGAGGGAAGCTCAGCTGGGTCTCTCTCTCCCGTCTCCCCCAGGAGCCATCTCCTCTGGCGGGACGGATGTCCCCTGGCACATCCTGAGCCGACCTGGCCTCCCCGAGGTCACGGGGGCCAGGCGGGACGGAAGGGCCGAGCTGGACTCTGCGGGACCCTTGCCGACAAGTGCAGCGCCCCAGGGAGGCCTGGGTCCCGCCGCCCCTCTTCCGTGCTCAGGCAGTATAGGGACAGCACTGCCCAGCTCAGCCCCGGCGACTCACAGAGCAGTGAGAACACGGGGCACTTCGTCACTCCTGGTTCTTCCTGCCACCCCGCTTCCCTTCCGTCAGGCTGCAAGGCAGGGTGGCCCTGGCGCCACCCATGCCTGTTTGGTTCTTAATTCCTGCCTCATCCTCAGTGCGGTGAAGTCTCATGCAGAGACCTGGCTGGACGGGACAGACCAGCACAAGATGTGCCGATAGAGAGCAGCGTTGCCTGGGTGCTGGCTGTGTACTGATTTCTCAAGGGAAACCAGCCGGATCTCTGCTCTGTCATGTCATGTTTGCTGGGCTTCGCTAGGTTTACAGCACTCTGTGTAGACGCAGGAACCCTCGAATGGGATTCCAGAAGCTGAAATCGGAGCCCAGCCCTGCCACTCCCTTAGGCATGTGATTTGTGGCTAGCCCTTCCCCGCTGAGCCTGGTTATGAAATGGAGATTATACCCACGTTCCAGCCCTGCCCTCACGGGTTGCTGTGAGGAGTAATTGAGGGGGAACAAGCTTTGCAAGTGTAAGATGCTGGTGTTGGTTTTGTTGTGCTGCGTTTTGTGGGCATGGGGATAGGGGCGAACATCAGGTATTTTCCATGGCCACCCCCTTTTAACCTGATCACGACACTGTGATGAGTAGGAATGGCCCTGCATGACCCTTGTGTAAGAGAGAAAGCGTATGTCCTGGTGAAGAGCAGACTCCAGAGTCTAAGTGTCATGTTCAAGTACAGCTTCTACCACATACCTGCTCTATGGCCTTGGACAAGTTTCGCATCTATAGTGCGCCGATGAGAGTAACACCCATCTCCTGGTATTGCCGGTGGGAATTAAAATTTGTTGAGATTTGCAATGTCCGGACCAGTGCCTGGCACGTGATGGTACTCTAAAGTGTTAAATGAGATCATCTATGGAGAATTTGCTTTTTAAAAATCTTTTTTTTTTTTTTATGTTTTTTTTTTTTTAATTTATTTCTAGAGAGAGAGAGAGAGCGTGAGCAGGGGAGGGTCAGAGAGAGAGGGAGTCACAGACTGAAACAGGCTCCAGGCTCTGAGCTGGCAGTCAGCACAGAGCTCGACGCGGGGCTCGAACCCACGAACCGTGAGATCATGACCTAAGCGAAAGTCGGACGCTTAACCGATTAAGCCACCCAGGCACCCCTAAAAATCTTTTTACTAATTCTTGGGGTTTCAGGTTGACAGATCTGAAAAGCTTCAAAACTACGTTATCGCCTCTTTAAACATTTTCACAAAACACATATTTTCATAACCCATAAACAAGATTAATGCCTTGGGAATTATATGTTACCAAGAATATATGGGACAGGAATGAGAACATATATTACCAAATTTGTACACATCGCTCCAGCGTTCCCGGGGCCAACTATTTCCCCGTTCTGATACCTTGTGGTTCTTCAAGGAGAGAGGAAAAGAGGAATGTGGTTGGAAACTAAAGAACAGACTGGAAACAAAGTGCTTGCTTGATTGTGTCACTGCGTTGCCATTTCTGTTCCGTGAATACGATGCCAGAAATTTAAAAGTAGACCCACATCGAACCATTCTGGTCAAGTGCCCCGCAAGCACTTTCCACTAGGAAAGTGTGAATATCATTGGTACGATCCCTTTAAATTTTAAAATCAAGTGTACTCCCAACGACAGTCAGAAGAATTTGGAGGATGACCTCTTTTGCTAGGTTAGGAAGAACTGCCCCCAGTTTCTTCGGAAGAAGATATTTTATGGGGAGTAGCATCGTCTGTCTGGGAGCTATCGATTAAAAAGAGAATAAACTGTCCACTGTCCTTTCTCAGGATGAAAAACATCACGAGACCTTTTATCCCCCCTGACTGAAATCGACCGCCTGTTGTTCTCTCAGTTGAAAAACAGCCCTCACCTCCTAGGTGGCTTGTGGCAGTCACCACCGTTGAACAGCAGCCATTATTTTTAAAACTAAAGTAGCACCAAGAGGTATCGAAATGACTGTACTTAGTGACATTTTCCAAATGGTGCGTTTTTTTACCAAATGGCAAAGGACAAGAATTACTTCAAAGACATTAAGAGTTTTAACTCTTCTTGTTTTTAACTGTTCTTGGCTTTATTGCCCTTAAGTTTATTGTTATTTTCTTTTATTCAATTGCCTTTTTAAAAATTGAGGTAAAAATTTGCATGACTTAAAACTAGCTGTTTTAAAGGGAGCAATTCAGTGGCATTTAGTTCGTTCACAGTGCTGCACAACCACCACCTCTGTCTGGTTCCAGAACATTTTTCATCCTCCCCCAAAAAAACTCTATACCCATTAAGCACGTACTTTCCATTGTTCTGGGCTTTATTCCTTTTTTTTTCTTTTTCTTTTTGAGAAGGACCAATCACAGGGATGTGTGTGTGTGTGTGTGTGTGTGTGTGTGTGTGTGTGTGCGTGCTTTTTTTTTTAAAGCTCTTTGTTCAGCACTTTTTTCAAAATACGCCTTTTTCTTTCAAGAATGAATGAATTTATCATATGTAGAAATTTAGGCCAACTCGACCTTCGTGATTTTAGAAGGAGACCAATAGTGTAGAGATGCTCCTTAACTTGGATGAAATCCCCCTTGTTGGACAGAAGTAGGCAAGGTTAGACCTTGGAGGGGTACTGGGTGAGAGTGGCTCAGGATGTCCCGAAGACCAGAGAGAGCTCTTCAAGCCATTGAACTCTTTCAAAAGTTCGGGTAACTCAGAGTCCCTCCAGAAAAATACTGAGTTCACACATACGTTCTGGTTTCCTTCCTTCCTTCCATTCACCTTCATTTTCGCCTCCTAACCTCTATTGTCATCTCAAGGAGAGACACTCTAGTGGGTGTTAAAACTGCCAGCAAAGGCCAACCTTACATTAGGGGGATGGCCACTGTGTGTAGCTGGGGTGCTGGTGAGGAGCTTGGTGAGGGGCCTGTCCCCCTTTCCAGCCTCTCTGGGAGTGACCCAGTTAGTGGCAGGGAAATACTAAAAGAAATAGTCTGTTTCCCTAACTACTTCCTATATCCATCCCATGTTGGTAGTTTATTGCTCACAGATCGTCAGAACATTGTCGAGAAAGATTAGCAAAGATCTTAGAAGGCTTTACTTTTTTTTGCCCTAGATGCCTATTTCACATATTAACATTTGTATCATTGAGTCTACATAGGTTCTACTAATTTTGCATATCTGTGCTGTGTGTAAGTCTAGATTGGGTAAATAGGTTGTAAATGCAACTCTCAGGAAGCCCCTTTTAAAGGAACTCAGCCATTTTTTAGGATCATTGATTATCATTTGGTGATTTTTATATCTGAATGCACTTAATTGTTTATGTTGCTTAAAGCATGATACAGCTGCTATAGTCTTCACTTATATTCAAGAAGAAATAGTTATAATAATAATATAGATCAGCTTCGAAACTAAATAAATTAATAGCACAGAGTCACATTTACTGCCCCAGTGTGCTACTGAGAGAGGAGATAAACACATGGAAAAATGCATGGATGAAATAATTTGCTTCACCAACATAACTTTTATTTGTTGATGGAACAATAGTGATAATCAGAAATATCAAAGCCCTTTTCAAAAATATCTTTTCAGCCAAAATTATGAAAGTAACACATGCCGTGATAGACAATTTGGAAAAAGATTTTATGCGTATTTCATGCATACTTGTGATCTGATCCTATGTGAAATTTTGTGCTCCACATGTTTCACTCAACATGACAATGTAAATATTTCCCAGTTTCTGAAGATCGATCCTAATGGACACGGTCCTGTAGAGTCATAAAGTCATGCTGCTAAGTGCTCTGTACTGATGGAACAAAGGTGCTTCATGAGAGCACCTGGCTTTAATTCAGAGCTTTGCTGAACATTTGGCTGGTACAGGCCAGAGCGCATACTGTCTGTATAATCCGCCAACCCCTGAGAGCTGCCGACGGCCTGGACTGGCTGACTTTCTGCTTCCTATTTCCAGCTCTTCAGCCTTATTAATGGTTGAATGATGTATTAACTATTCTTATATAAATGTTCATGGTCTCTGAACATGAAGAGATAAGATACTGGTTTTCTCAAAACAAGCAGGTAGCAGATGTTGATCTGAAAGTATTTAAGGATTGAAGCCTAGTCATTTAGACAGAGCCATGGTTTTAAATTCTAGACATGTATCCTTTTATGAAAAAATACATATCACGTTTTAGAATTTTACAAGAAAGAGGTTTTATTAATATTCTATTTTGATATAAAAATGCCTTGCTTTCATTGTAGAAGACTATAAAAGATGTGGGCACAGGGAAGAATTCTTATGTGCCCTCTATGTCATTCTTGGCAGTTCGTCCCAGGAAAAATTCAGCTTTCTACACACGTTTTAGTTGGGAAGTAGGGTGGTATTATGTGGTCTGTGTGCGAATTTAAGTCTATAAAAGCCACATTGCCTATAAGGTACATTAGGATTTGAAATTCATATAATTGTTATCTTCATCATTGTCTTCTAAGTCATGAAAAATCACACAAAGTCAAACTCTCTATATTTTTTCTTTCAGCCAGATGAATTGTACTTCGAGGAGGGTGATATTATCTACATTACTGACATGGTAAGCCCAGCTAATATTTTGTAATACTACATATAAACTAAAGATGCATTAAAACTATTTTGTACGGCTGTAATATTGTACGTTATTTAGATGTGTGTCTGTATAGAAATACCTACGCCTGAGTTTGTTCATTTTAGCACAATCTGTAATAACACCGTAAAATTGAAAGTAGCCCTTAAGTGCACCAGTTGGAAAATGGTTGAATAAACCTTGGCATATCCGCAAATAGAGTATTATGCAGCTATTAAAAAATAATGAGGAATATCTCTAAATACTGTTATGGAGTACTGTCAGTGAAAAAACGCAAAGTAAAAAAAATGTGGATAGTATGCCATATTTATCTAAGAGAGGTTAGATATTTTCTTCAGTTTAAAATAAAAAGTCAAAGGAGGAATCATAAAATAAAATCTAAGAAATAGCTGCTTCTGTGTGAGCGAAGGAAAATAGGGTAGAGGGAACATAGATGAAATACAGACTTCTAAAAAATCGTCTTGTTTTGGAGCTCTGACTTTGGAGTCATGGAAACTTTTGCATAATTATAAAATTAAATTGAATCGTAAAAAGCAGTCCCTGAAATTTAAAGGCAGAATGAATCAAGTGAAGTTAATGATACCCCGAGTAAGTGGCATAACCACACAGACAGGAACTATTCCAAGTGACCTTAAACCTCAGCAGGTCAACTGAACATCTCCCGTCAGATACATGGGAAGGACGAAAAGGACTGGCAAGGAAAACAGCTGTCAAGCGTTTTCAGTCACCATCTTGTTGCAGAAGCCGTGGCATTGCCATTCTGAGATCGTTGCGTGTATGCTGTGGTTTACAGCAAATGAGTCCTTAGGTCAGTGATACTGAAAATTGGGATTTTTCAGCCAGCAAGAAAAGATACACACATGAAAGATCAGTGAGGTTAAGTAAAAACCCCGTAGCTCTGCATCTGTATTGCAAGCATGTTGTATTTTATCTAAAATAAAGTAAAAAAATATGTCCTGCTCTGTCCTTTGAAAAGGCCGAGGAAAAAAAAAATGACCCAATAAAAATGTGTTATTTTGCATTCAAAGGAACAAGGCTCCTTTGAGAACCACCTGTTACCAGGTTGGGGGCAGCAGAAGTACAAGATAATCCCAGAACTCTGCGTTATTAGAATGCAAGGAAGCCTCCAAAGCCAGAACTTTCTAGATCCTAGAAAGGAACTAAGTTGAAGAGGCTGTCACTAGTCAAAGGTAGGACAGTTTGAGCAGTCAACTAGGGCAACAGTCCCCAAGAATTGAAATGCATTTGTGATGTTTAAATTCGTGAGCTCCTAATGATAGTTCAAAAATCCCAAACATCATTCTTCACCCTGAGCGGATGCTAGGGAACCGACTTTGTATTCTGACAACTTCCGTTAAGGACAATAATTAGCGTTGATTCTGCCTTCTCTCTGTGAACTTCATCTCTGCATAACCTGAGTGTTGATGAGGGAAAATTTTTCTTTAAAGAGAGATGCTAATTGTTTATTTTTTTCCCTCTTCTTTTATTTTTCAACATTTATTCATTTTTGAGAGACAAAGCATGAGCATGATCATGGGAAGGGCAGAGAGTGAGGGAGACACAGAATCTGAAGCAGGCTCCAGGTGCTGAGCTGTCCCACAAACTGTGAGATCATGTCCTGAGCCTAAGTCAGATGCTTAACTGACTGAGCCACCCAGGTGCCCTGATATTCTAATTGTTTAAATGAAAAAGGCATGATAGACTATCAAGGTTTTGCAACCCCAGGAAACAATGAATCCAGCTAATGCTTATCAGTGGCTAACTTAACATTACAAAAAGAGAGACCACCAGCCATTATGTGTCTCCTGATGGAAGGCATCAGTACTACCCAAGAGATAGTCTTGCCCAAAAAACTGAATCTAAATCTAAGCCTTTAGCACTAATGGCCAATTTATGGGCAGTATGGAGAGCAGAAGAACACATTTTTGATAACACAGGGATACAACAGGTAAAATCCAGACTGAAACTCAGCAGAACAAATAAACTGGTTTCTGGTTTCTTCAACAAGTGTATTATGAAGAAGTGGGGGAAAAAAAAAAAAACGGGAGGAGCGGTGCCTGGGTGGCTCAGTCGGTTAAGCGTCTGACTTTGACTTCGGCTCAGGTCATGATCTCCTGGTCCATGACTTCAAGCCCTGCATCCAGCTCTGTGCTGACAGCTCAGAGCCTGGAGCCTGCTTCAGATTCTGTGTCCCCCTCTCTCTGCCCCTCTGCAGCTTGTGCTGTGTCCCTCTCTCAAAAATAAACAAACATTAAAGTTTGTTTGTTTGTTTGTTTTAAATGGAGGGAAACGTATAGACTAAACGACAGAAAAGAGACAAATCAGTCAGTGGTATTGTATGGCCCTTACTTGGATTCCCAATTGTAGAATACTGGATCTTTGAAACTGGAAAATTTGAATCTTGATCTATATATTTGATGGTATTAAGAAAGTATTGAAATACTAGAACAAACTATCCAAAAATTTGTATGGAACCACAAAAGACCCCGAATAGCCAAAGTAATACTGAAAAATAAAACCAAAACAGGAGGTATCACCATCCCAGACTTTAGCCTCTACTACAAAGCTGTCATCATCAAGACAGTACGGTATTGGCACAAAAATAGACACATAGACCAATGCAACAGAATTGAGAACTCAGAAGTGGACCCAAAAGTATACAGCCAACTCATCTTTGACAAAGCAGGAAAGAATATCCAATGGAAAAAAGACAGCCTTTTTAACAGATGGTGTTGGGAGAACTGGACAGCAACATGCAGAAGAATGAAACTAGATCATTTTCTCACACCATGCACAAAAATCAACTCAAAATGGATAAAGGACCTGAACGTGAGACAGGAAACTATCAACACCCTAGAGGAGAAAGCAGGAAACAACCTCCTTGACCTCCACCGCAGCAACTTCTTACTTGACACATCCCCAAAAGCAAGGGAATCAAGAGCAAAAATAAACTGTTGGGACCTCATCAAGATTAAAAGCTTCTGCACAGCCAAGGAAACAACCCAGAAAATTAATAGGCAACCAACGGAATGGGAAAAGATAGTTGCAAATGACATATCAGATAAAGGGTTAATATCCAGAATCTATAAGGAACTCACCAAACTCCACGCCCGAAAAACAAACAACCCAGTGAAGAAATGGGCAGAAGACATGAACAGACACTTCTCCAAAGAGGACATCCAGATGGCCAACAGACACATGAAACGATGCTCAGCATCCCTCCTCATCAGGGAAATACAAATCAAAACCACACTGAGATACCACCTCACGCCAGTCAGAGTGGCTAAAATGAGCAAATCAGAGAACTCTAGATGCTGGCGAGGATGTGGAGAAACGGGCACCCTCCTACACTGTTGGTGGGAATGTAAACTGGTGCAGCCCCTCTGGAAAACAGTGTGGAGGTTCCTCAGGAAACTAACAATAGAACTCCCCTAGGACCCAGCAATAGCACTGCTAGGAATTTACCCAAGGGATACAGAAATGCTGATGCAGAGGAGCACATGGACCCCAGTGTTCATAGCAGCACTCTCCACAATAGCTAAAACATGGAAAGAGCCTACGTGTCCATCAACGGATGAATGGATCAAGAAGATGTGGTTTATCTATACCATGGAATACTCCATGGCAATGAGAAACAATGAAATCTGGCCACGTGCAGCAACATGGATGGACCTTGAGGGTGTTATGCTGAGCGAAATAAGTCAGGCAGAGAAGGACAAATATCATATGTTCACACGTATAGGAGGATTAGGAGGAACTTGACGGAGGAACAAGGGGGAGAAGAAGGGGGGAAACAGTGGGAGAAAGGGAGAGAGGCAAACCATGAGAGACTCTTGAATGCTGACAAAAACTGAGGACTGATGGATGTGGGGGGGAGGGGGGGAGGGGCACGGAGGAGGGCACTTGTGGGGATGAGCACTGAGTGTTATGTGGAAACTAATTTGACAATAAACTTTGTAAAAAATAAAAAAATAAAAAAAATAAAAACTGAGAAAAAAAAAAGTATTGAAATGAATTTTAAGCTGTGATAATGTCTTTGGAAAAAAATCCTTATCTTTGAGAAATATGCACTGAAATATATACAGATGAAATAATATGTCTACAATTTGTTTCAAAATAACCTGAAGGGGAGGGAAGTTGTGGGTGAAATATATGGAATGATATTGGGAATTTATGCAAGTGGGAGATGAGATTATGTAGGCGTATTATGCTGCTCTTTTTCCTTTTCATAGGTTTGAATTTTTCCAAAATAAAGTTTCCCAAAACATAAAGGTGAAATAAAGAGATCTTTTTTAAAAAAAGCAGGAAGTTGGGCATTTAGTTTAAACTAAATGTAACCGTGTTCTTCTCTTTCATATAGTCTCTGATTGTGCGATTGTTGAGACTCTGTCACGACGTGTATTGTGTTTGCTGCAGGCCGATGTGTGTGTATTTGTACTTTGATGATCAGTGGAGGGGGCACCCATAACTAGGGGGCGCGGAAGCTCAATCGTTGTGACAAGGACCGATGGCCATTTTTGTAGAGCAGGCGCACTCTATGAGGCCAGCAGTTTTAAAAGTGATTGAACGTGAACTGGATTTGGTGCCACTTAATTTACCTCTTTTTTCACTAGAGTGATAACAATTGGTGGAAAGGCACCTCCAAAGGCAAGACTGGACTAATCCCGAGCAACTATGGTAAGCATGGCCGTGGTGGCTTGGCTTTGGGCTCGCTCTGGGCACTGCAGTTCTCTGGGTCCTGAGCCTTTCTGCTCAGTGCTGTGGCTGAAAAGTCAGTGGAGTCATTGCCATTGTAGGATGTTTTCTACTCCATGAACCTCGTTAATAAGATGGTAATGGACACTGGATGTGCTTGAACTTGATTCTTTGGCTTAAGAAAATGCATCATAGCATCTTGATAGAACCCAAGGTTTCCAGGGAATTGTTTACGGCTCTCCGTTATTCAACTCTTAGAATATGTTTTCCTTCCTTCCTTCCTTCCTTCCTTCCTTCCTTCCTTTCTTCTTTCCTTCCCTTTTCACTGTTAAACCACATTTCACAGATTTACTTAGCCTAGCCCTTTCTTTTGGGATGAAGTGATCCTGCCTTGTTAATCATGTTTGGGGCAGTTGTGTTCATTACCAGGTATCAAGGCAGTTGGAGGGGCTTGAGTAGTGAGATGCGGCCCCTGCCATGAAGCCGATTAGGTTTTGGGGTGATGTAGGCTTTGTGGAGTTCGGAACCGATGGCCAAGAAAGAATTCTTGAAGATGTCTTTCGTGCAAACATGGCGATTTTGTTAAAGCCTGGGGAAGGGACCCGTGGGTGGGAAGAGCTGTGCTGGGGTTGTGACAGATAACTCGTTATATACCCTTAGGCTGGGAGGGGGTCGGGGATAGAGTAAGTCTCAAGGAATTTTGAAAGCACGGGTTCCAGGACCTTGAGGGGCTGGCTGTTGCTAGGGAAACGCCATTTTTTACCACTTAATAACACCTCAGTCATGAGATCCTTCAGATGTGTATCTGAGGACCGTAAGCTTGGAGTGTGATTGCCAGCATGTATCTTGGGGCAGCTGAGATAAAGGAAGTAGACTTACAGGATCCTCGAGGTTGGGACAATGTTAAGCCCAGGTTCTCTTTGGCCCCCAGCAGTGTGTCCTCATTGAGGCAGCTGAGCACCTACAGGGAGGTCCTTCTGCCGGTTTCACGGACTTGACAGGGGGCTGTGGGCAGTAGGGAATTTAATTTTTCATTTGCCTTAGTTTCCTACATCGCCATGGCAAGCCCTTAAACCCCTTCCTTTGTTCTTGGGTAGCTGGGAGTATCCAAGGAAAGTCACACAGATTCCACCTGGTGGTTGGGGGGGGGGGTTGCTAGCTCGTGACTTTCCCCTCAGCCTGCCTCATGCTCCCTCATCAGATCCACTTCTAGTTGGAAGAGGGACACACAGGCAAACGTACTTCTGTAGAAAACAGCAAAGTAAAGTAAAAAGACCACAGGATTGGCAAACAGGATTTTAATCCTTTTTCTTCCACTTCTTAATAACAAGGGACTTTAGTGAAGGCACTGATTGCTGTCCCTGAGACTGTGTCCTCATTCTGTGTAATGAGAGGTTTGATTTAAATCACTTCCAAGATTCCTGTTGACTTCAGCATTAGATGTTTCCCTAGACCACCAGGGCTGGCATCAGGCGCCAGTGCCAAACACTGGCAGAGGACTCAGAAAATTTCAAGGAAGGCACCACAACGCAGGGAAGCCAGGAGAAGGAGGGCAAGGGAGGGGAAGTGGGAGCTGAGGTCTGGGGCCCCACACACGGACCCCACTTGCCCTGGTCTAAAGCGGATAGCGTTCTAAGTTAAAAAAGACTTGAGGGGCCCCTGGGCGGCTCAGTCAGTTAAGCGTCAGACTCCAGCGCAAGTCATGATCTCATTGTTTATGGGTTCGAGCTCCGTGTCAGCCTCTGTGCTGACAGCTCAGAGCCTGGAGCCTGTTTCGGATTCTGTGTCTCCCTCTCTCTCTGATGCTCCCCCACTCTCTTAATAAACATTAAACTTAAAAAAAAAAAAAGACCTGAAGCAGTTCTACATTCTTCTAACCTTTGAAATCCCCAGTATACCTCTGCCACGCAGTGCATTTCAGCCAGCCATAGACACTGAGCATGTAGTGTGTTCCTCGGTTACTTTGGGTCCCCAGTGGCCAAGGGAGTGTCCAGTTACAGCTCTTGAGGGCGGGAGGGGGTGGGTCTGGTCTGTTTTGAACCACCGGCATCTTCACGTGATCACTCCTGCTGATTGTAGGACAACTGAGAACACACCTTCCTTAGAAGCAGGTAGGTGTGCTGATTGCCCTTCTTAAATAAAGGAAGCAAACGATTTCCCCCTCCTGCATGCCCCCTACATGCACACACACACGAGAAACAATTCTTTTCAGCCATCTTCAAAGTAGGGCGTTTTTACAGAATGTAAAGTTGGACGTCAGATGTTTTCTCCTGCACGTTCATGACCAAGTTTATCACTTACTTGAGGATACTGGTGTGCAGGCCACGGGTCTGTTTGTTTCTGCTGACGCTTCCACTTAATTGCCACGTTTGTTTCTGTTTATACTGCCACTTAATTGCTGTGGTGGCGCCTTCTTGCTTAGCTTGCTTTCATTTCACAGATAATTCAGCTTCTTTTAAAGCAGGAAACACCAGCTTGATTTTCTGCTATTTTTTCAATCCGCATTGGAAGGGATGCCCTGTGGTGGAAGGCCCTGGAAACTGGGGACTGCAAAGTGGCTTCATTGAGTCATTTGGGCGGCATGCTCACCATTGGTTTTGCACGTTTCTGTTTTCAATCTAGTGGCCGCACAGGCAGAATCCATTGACAATCCGTTGCACGAAGCTGCAAAAAGAGGTAGGTCTGCTTGTATTTCATTGGGATACACAGTACGGTGCACAAGAAAACACAAAGATTTTCATTATACGGTTTGGCATCTTTTTTTTTTTTTTAATGTTGATTTAGTTCTGAGAGAGAGAGAGCGTGAGTGAGCTCAAGTTGGGGAGGGGCAGGAGGGGCGGCAGAGGATCTGAAGCAAGCTCTACACTGAGAGCACAAAGCCCGATGTGAGCCTTGGACTCACAAACTGTGAGACGATGACCTGAGCCAAAGTTGGAGGGTTAACAGATTGAGCCACCCAGGCGCCCCAGGTTGACAAATGTCCACACCCATGTAACCAACACCCAGACCAAGAGCTAGAACATTCTGTCATCCCAGAAAGTTCCTGTTCCAGTTAACCCCCCGCCTCCCCCAGAGGCAGTCTCTTCTGCCATCACCCTGGAGAGAGAAGTGTGATTTTATTATTTTTTAAAATTTTCTTATGTAATGTCTACACTCCAGCATGGGCTCAAACTCACAATGCCAAGATCAAGAGTCGCATGCTCTACCAACTGAGCCAGCCAGGCGCCCCTGCGATTTTAATTTTCAAAATGTCAGCCACCAAACACTTTTGAGCACTTTCCATACCCTGGGCTCAGTGGCAAGCAGAAAGGCATCGTTTGTGACTCCCAGGGCCCAGAGTCAGATGTGTGTAACAGAGCATTACAAGATGATGCCGGAACACAGCAGCTGAAGTTAGGTTCAAGTTAAACAGGCTCCAGAGACCAGAATGAGTCATTGGAGGGCAGGAGGGTGGAGGCTTCTTGGGGGTAAGCCATTTAGGTGGGTACTGGTACAGGGCAGGTGTGTGGGCTGAGGATGGAGTTGGGGAGGGAGGAAGCAACGGGTGGGCCGTGTATTTGGGACTCTATCTTGTTTTTTTTTTAATTTTTTTAGTGTTTGTTTATATTTGAAACGGAGAGAGAAAGACAGTGCAAGCTAGGGAGGTGCAGAAAGAGGGAGAGAGAGGGGCGCCTGGGTGGCTTAGTTGGTTGGGCGTCCGACTTTCGCTTAGGTCATGATCTCGCGGTTCGTGGGTTCGAGCCCCGCGTCGGGCTGTGTGCTGACTGCCAGCTCAGAGCCTGGAGCCTGTTTCAGTCTGTGACTCCCTCTCTCTCTGACCCTCCCCTGCTCACGCTGTCTCTCTCTCTGTCTCCTAGAAATAAATAAAACATTAAAAAAAAGAAAGAGGGAGAGAGAGAAAGAGAGAGAGAACGAGGGGGGAGGGGCAGAGAGAGAGGGAGACATAGGCTTTGAATCAGGGTCCAGGCTCTGAGTTGTCAGCACAGAGCCCTGTATGGGCTTCAACTCGTAAACTGTGAGATCATGACCTGAGCTGAAATCAAGAGTTCGATGCTTAACTGACTGAGCCACCCAGGAGCCCCTAAATAACTGGCATTTAAATAAAAACTTGAAACAAGAAAGAGAGGGAGGGAGGAGGGAAGGGAAGGAGGGAAGAAAAAAGGAAGAATCATTTGTAAATTATATATTTAGAGTATTAGCCAGAGGATTTTAAATTAATAGTTACATTTTACGGGCTCCTGGGTGGCTCAGTCAGTTAAGCATCTGACTTCGGCTCAGAGCCTGGAGCCGTTTTTGGATTCTGTGTCTCCCTCTCTCTCTGCCCCTCCCTCACTTGCACTCTCTCTCTCAAAAATAAATAAAAATTAAAAATTTTTAAATAAAATTTAAAAAGTTATATTTTAACGTATGAGAGCAGCAGCTTTGAGTAGGTTATTTAGTGTTTGTTTTCTTATTTTCTTATAAGAACTGAAATTTAATATGCATTTAATATGAATATGAATGTTATCTACTTGTTCTTAGTTTTGACTGGTGTTTTTCCCCCAAGGTCCAGGATTTCACAAAGGAAAAAATTACATGTGTATAGCTTTTACAGAGTAAGACTACCATACATAGACTCATGTAGGCCACTCTTCCCATTAACCTATCATTAAAAATTGATGTTGCACAATCCATTCGAGCTTATTTCATCAGTTTTATACACACTGCTTAGTGTGTGTGTACCAACCTGTGTACACCATAGATTGAATGCTTGTGTCCCCTCAAAATTCAGATGTTGAAACCCAACCCCATTGTGGCGGTGTTTGGAGGGAGGGCCTTCGGTAGGTGATTAGGTTATGAGGGCTCTGGCCTCATGAATGGAACTGGTAGAGACCCCAGAGAGCTCCCTCCCTCTGCTCTGTCAAAGGGGTGGAAAGACGGTGTCTATGAACCAGGAAGCAGGCGCTTACCAGACACTGAATCTGCTGGCACCTTCATTCTGGACTTCTGAGAACTGTGACTAATAATGTGTGTTCCTTAAGCCATTCCTACTGTACCTCCCTTTTCCCTCCCCCCCAACCCCCGCAAATTGTCGTTACTGCTTTTCATTAATAAGTTGGAAGTGAAAATGTACCATCATGAATACATTCCTGAGGAGGTCTTAATTTCAGATTTGCTAACTAATCCATTCTAGATGGAAATGTGTAGAGGACGGAATTGATTTCAAAGCAAAACAAAACACCAAAACCCTCTTTCTTGTGCTTTTCTGTAAAACTTTTTCAGGCAACTTGAGCTGGTTGAGGGAGTGTTTGGACAACCGAGTTGGTGTGAATGGCTTGGACAAAGCCGGGAGCACTGCCCTGTACTGGGCCTGCCACGGGGGCCACAAAGGTACTGTGTCCTGTTCGTTGCCTTCAGCGTCCATGTTGCTGAAAATGTGCTTCAGGAAGGGGAGCGGGGTTTACAGAAACGGAACAAAAATTATGCTTTTCGCATCCTTCAGAACATTGGCCAAAACCTTCCTCCTAGGAGGTCTGGAACGCAGTAGGTTGGATGCTCACTGCACGGACCTCTTGAAAGAGTGGGAGCTTCCTTTCCTCTCTAGGGCTTGGAGGGGTTACAGGAAGATCACAGTCATGTCCTCACAAACCCCACTATCTAATCTGATGGAAGAGAGGGGCAGAAAGTGACTACTCTAGCTTAGCCCTTCCCAAGACGTATTTTCGATTTACATGGAAGTTTAACACGTGCATGTTAGATTCTGGGGAAAGACAGCATTTATGTAAGGTAGTGGTTGAGTGGACAGACCTCTCAGTTACACTCAGCAATATGACAGATGGAATTTCTAGATCTGTTTCAGCCTGACCCCACATCTGCTGCACCCACCCTCTTTCTACCTCTCCCCACAGCACACACACAAAATAAACACGGCAGCCATGAGAAACAAAGCACCCAACACATTAAGCAGCATAGCCAGAAGAAAGTTGATGGCTCTTCCCCAAAAGAAGCCCATCTCGTTTGAGCTGATAAAGGCAGATTAGTTAAATGAATGTAAAATATCATAGTGAATGTAGAGCTTTTTCTATAATGGTTGCCATGTGAAAATCCAAAAGCCAAATTATTGCAAAACAGTTTTCCCCTAGATAATTCTACTTTTAGGTTCTTAAGTCTTGTATTTACATAAATTTTAACAAATTTGTTGTAAGGATTTTTTTGAAGAGTCTTCTAAGGAATCCTCTCTTTTAAAACGGCTATGCCTAGTCTTGTCAGCCTTTTCCTTTGCAGTCTTAAAAAAAAATCCCTTTTCTGTTTGAATTTCAGATATAGTAGAAATGCTGTTTACTCAACCAAACATTGAACTGAACCAACAGGTAAGATCGCTTCCACGGAAGCTGCTCGTCACTTAACACACCTGCCTTGTTCTCGCCCTGTGCCTTATGGGCATGGAAAGTCCTATCTTCGTGTCTTGAACTGACCTTTTCCCATTTGTTATCTTTCCTACAATTTTTAATCCAGGTAATATAAGCACATAGTTAAAAAATTACTGTTGTACTGAAGTCCAAATTGTATAAAGCCCAAAATACCTGTCATGTTCCTTCTCATGTGTCACTCAGCGTTGAAGCGTTGAGCTCTTCACTCTTGCCATCATGTGACTAATAAGGAAGAGGCTTACGGAGCTGTCCCCTAAGTCGTCACCTTCATCAGTGTGTCAGTGTCCCATCTGAAGGCTGAAGCTTCTCAGCTGCCCCCACTCTGATCTGCCAGCGCCCAGCCTCTGCTCCTCTGGTCTCTCCCACATATCATATCATTGTTTTTGGTTACATTGCTCTACGATGCTTACAAGTATTATGGCTATTTAAATATTTAAATATTGTTCACTGCGTGTATAACTTCTGTTTCTATACTTCTTGACTTTTCTTTTGCTGGGGGTTTTATTTTCAGTTTATTTATCTTGAGAGTGAGAGGAAGCATGAGTGGTGGAGGGGCAGAGAGAGAGGAGAGAGCAAGATTCCCAAGCAGGCTCCATGCTGTCAGTGCAGAGCCCAGTGCGGGGCTCGAACTCAGGAAGCGTGAGATCATGACCTAAGTTGGACACTTAACCGACTTAGCCATCCAGGCGCCCCTAGCTGGTTTCTGGCTTTTGGTTTCTGTATCTCATAAAGATTTCCACACTATCTCATGTTCTCTTGATATACTTTTCCAAACTGTATTAGAGAACTGCATTCTTTTTTCTCCCTGGAATGGTACTTCCCGAAGCCCTCATCCCCATTCGAAGCAACTCGGTCTCTGCTGCCCTTTGCTGTCTTCCTGGGAAGACTTACTCTCGCCTTTCTCCTGGGGCGTGTCTTCACTTTTCTGGATCCTGTGTTTTCCTCCGTATGTTGAAGAACATCCTTGAAGATTGCTAAGAAAGGGGACCTAGGGATTGGTTATTGGGCTGACAGAATTCTAGATTGAAAATTATTTTCCTCAGGATTTTGCAGGCAAGGCTCTACGGTATTCTGGTTTTTAGGATTGTTTTGATGCCATTTTGATTCCCATTCTTCTGTATGTGATCTGCTTTTCTGTTGCTCAGAATTACAACTCTGTCTTTAGTGTTCTAGAATTTTGTAACGATGTGCTTCAGCGTGTGTGTCTTCCCAGTAATGGTGGTAGACTCCTTCAGCCTGAAAAAAAGTCCTGTTGACTATTTCTTTTCTAGTTTTTACTGACTACTGTCTTTATTCTTTGGTTCTGGAATGCTCAGTAGTAGCTAGGTTGGACCTCTTACTGAGTCTCCAGTTATTTTGTTTTTCTCAAATTTTCTTACTTTTTTTTTTTAAAGTTTATTTATTTATTTTGAGAGAGAGAGGTGGGGGAGGGGCAGAAAGAGAGAGAGAGAATCCCAAGCAGGCCCTGTGCTGTCAGCGTGGAGCCCTACTTGGGGTTCGAACTCACCAACCACAAGATAGTGACTGGAGCAGAAATCAAATCAAAAGTCGGATGCTTAACCGACTGAGCCAGCCACATGCCCCAAGATATTCTTAGCTTTGTGTTTTATTTTGATTACCTTTTAAATTCCTTAGTGTCTTGAGTTTTCTATTGCTGTGTGACAAATAACCACAACCTTAGCTGCTTAAAACAACACACATTTACCTCACACGTTCTGTAGGCCAGAATTCTGGGTGTGGCAGAGCTGGGCTCTCTGCTCAGGGTCTCTCGGGCCAGAGTCAAGGTATTGGCCAGAAGCAGGTTCTCATCTGGAGCTCAGATCGTATTCCAGACTCATTCAGGTTGCCCGGAGGATTGAGTTTCTTGCACCTGCAGTGCTCTGGCCCTTAGTTTTTAGGGATCACCCCCCTCCGTAGACATTGCACAACATGGCTGTTTGCTTTCTTTCTTAAGGTCGGTAGGCAATTGTGCCTCTGAAGCTATAACTTTGGGAAAGGGCCCATCTGATTAGGTCAGGCCCACCCAGTATAACCTCCCTTTTGATGAACTCACCATCAACTGATTAGAAACCTCATCATGGGAGCGATATCCTATTATATTCATTAGTCTCATACATATTTGAGGGGGAGGAATTAAACAGAGGGTGGATCCCCAGAGGGCAGGGATCTTGGGCACCATCTTGGAATTCTGTCTACTTGTAAGCATTTTTACTCTGATTATTGCTTTTTATAAATGTTTTTTTTTTTTCTTTTTACTTATTCTTGAGAGAGAATGGGGAAGGGGCAGAAAGAGAGGGGGCACAGAGGATCTGAAGCACGGACAGCAGAGCGCCTGACATGGGGCTCACATTCATGAACCGTGAGGTCATAAATTGAGCCAAAGTTAAGACACTTCACCCCACTGAGCCACCCAGGTGCCCCCCCTGATTATTGCTTTTAAATAGCATCTTTTCTTGTTCCATTACGCTGTATCATGTTGTATATATCTTGAATATGTTAATTTATAGCTTTTTAAAAGGCTTCCTGCCATTCACTGTACTGTGTCTTCTCCGTCTGAGATCCATTCATTTTGTTTCACTCTTCTCTCAAATATTAGAGGCTTTCCTCAAATACGTAGTATCTCTGCCTCCTCTGTTCGTGTTTAAGGGTGACTGGAAGCTGGGCAGGCGGGTGGGGCGTACGGGCTCCAGGCCTCTCTGCGGGGTGACGTGGGAAGGTCCCGGCCGTTGCGCTGGGGCGACACCCAGACGTGAGGGTGACTGCCCTCTCCCGCCTCCCCGCAGTGTTTCAGTACCGGGCCCTGTGGCCACTTTCCCTGGTACCTGCAAGTTGCCCGAGCTTGGACACTTCTCTGGTTACGTTTTCAACAGGGTGATTCGGCCGTCTGCCCCGGCTCACCCGGCAGCCAGGAGAGAGGAAGGTGATCGAATTACCTCCTCTTCTTCTTTTAAATGTTTACTTATTTATTTTGAGAGAGAAGGTGTGCGCGTGTGTGAGCTGAGGAGGAGCAGCGAGAGAGTCCCGAGCAGGCTCCATCCTCTCAGCAGCGCCGAGCCCGACACGGGGCTCGAGCCCACGAACCGTGAGATCGTGACCTGAGCCAAAGTCTAGAGTCGGAGGCTCCACCTACGGCGTCACCCAGGCGCCCCCTGATGACTTCCGTAAACGCTTCCGCCCAGTACTCTCGTTTTCACTCGCGTGCCTCCTGCTTGTTCCGCGTCTCCAGACAGCGCGACTTCCTAATTCTCGCGAGGTTTGCAGGGGCGGATCCGCGGGCTTCCTCCTGGGTCTCCGTCGGCTCGGTCCAGTCCGTCTCTGCTCCGCGTTCCATCCCTGAAGACCGTTTCCTCATCTCTTGAGCCTCCGAGATTTCTCTCTTGGGAATTTTATGTGACTTTAGAACTCGTTCTCATTTTGACTTTGCTTAGAGTCCACCTAACTCCATGCATGTTTTCAACCCGCCGTCTCTTTTTAAAATGCTGCTTTTCTCTTTTTTTAAATCACCCTAGAACAAGTTGGGAGACACAGCTTTGCACGCCGCTGCCTGGAAGGGTTATGCAGACATCGTCCAGTTGCTTCTGGAAAAAGGTAAAGCAGGTGCCCCATTGGTCTGGCCTTTGCTTACCCTGGACAAACAGGCTACATTCAATTACATTATTTGAAATAGTAGGAAGAATCAGAAGCCTCGTATTTTGAAACTGGGATTTTAAGCTCGGCTCTGCCTGTATCACAGAGTTGTTACAATAAGACGAAATTACAGACTTGAGGTGATTCGTGCCAAAGTTTTGGTTTTACATTAAAAGCTTGGTAGGCTTTAAAATGACATACATTACTTATCGCACGAGTTTTTAATACATTTCTGCAGGAGTAAAGGGTCCTAGAAGAAAGGCATGTGTGTGCACCCAGGGGCACGTGCGGAGACGATGTGATCTCAGAAGTCTGTAGGGGTGAAGGTGCTGAGGCCCCTGCTCACAAGCAGAGTCCTGACAGACAAGAAAGAACGCTGGGGCTGTCATGTCCTGCTCTGATCTGAGCAGGTGCTAGTTGTACAAAAAATGTGAAGCTACCTCAATTCCCTATTTTTTATACAGGTCAGAGGGGACAGTGAAATAATGGACTCACCATCTACCCGTCCGTCACACAAATATGGATTAGTCCTTCCACAGGGCTGGGTGTCTCTCCTATACTGCATCCTGGTCCAGAAGCCTATGATAGAAGATGCTTGAATCCCAAGGTGTCTTATGGATGCACCTTCATTAGGGACCCTCATAGCAATGTTGTGGGATACATGAGAGGAAATGTTACCGATTTAAAGGACGTTGGTGATGTAAATCTCAGGTGTAAAAGATCAGACAGCATGAGGACCACTCTAGTGCCCCCTAAGGGTTATGCTGAGAACCGCGCCACCTGTCACTAGCCACACAGGCCACTGGGCCGGTGAAATGAGCATAGTCTGGACTGAGATGTACTGTCAGAGTAAAAGGCACATTAAATTTCGAAGACTTAGGGGAAAAAAAAGATGTAAAGTATCACAATAACTTTTATGTTGGTTATATGATAAAGTGGTAACATTTTGGATCTACCATATTAAATAAAATACATTATTAAAATGATTTCCACCTGTTGAAAATGGGGCCCCTAGAAAAATTTTAAATGACACATACGGCTCATATTGTATTTCTCTTGGGTAGCACTGGTTGAGAGGGACACAGGAAATGGTCGTTTCTTCTCTGCCTTGCTGGCTCCGGACATTTCCTGTCCTGACAGAAATCATGTATATGGGTCCTAACGTGTAATGTAATGTAAGATATGACCAGTCACAGAGCCCTTAACCCTCTGGAATTTTTCCCTGTAGCCCAATGAGAGAATGAGGTTTCTATAGACACTTAGCTGTGGGTAGATCTAAGTTGCATGAGAGAGATTTCTATACACAACTGCCATATTCCTAATTAAACAAACCATGCTTTCTTCACTCAGTGTTTTTGTGCCTTTGAGTTTCATTTCACTTATTTTTTGTTTCCTGAAGAGGATGAGATCACAAAAAAATGGCTCCTCCTGTTCTGTGGCAGGAAGTATAAATTGGTAAAGCTTCCTGGAAAGCAGTCAGACAGTAGCTAGCAGACTTAAAACTGAACTTAGCCTTATATTCCAGCATCACTTCTGGGAAGTTCTTCAGAAAGCTGGTATTCAAGGAGATTTACGGCAATAATGTTTGTGATCTAGGAACATACAGCCTACATGCCCCTCAGTAGGGGAAGAGGAGGGTTATTAAATAAATATTGGAATGTTCACAAAATTGATTACTTACGAATGTTCAGATGGATTGAGTTATTAGTATGTGTACTGCTGAGGAATGGGTACCATTCTATATTGCTGAGTTAAAAAAATCCACTTACAGACCATTGTATGCGGTGTGATTTTGGGTGTAGATGTCCATGAGTGCATTCCTGCAGCTGAGGATGGCAGGGACTGGTACCTCCTTGCAGGGAATGGTTTCCTCCAGACAAGCTGGAAGATGGGCTGGGAGGGGTTAGTCGGGGGATGAAATGGGACGTATGCTTTTTGCTCAGCATACTTCGCTATCTTTGAAGTTTTAACAATGAAAATGTACCCATGAATCCTGATGTAATTTTTATCACAATGAAGACCAGGACAAAAAGCAAGTAGAAGGCGTGCTACGGAAACAATGGATCACCCCTAGCTTTTCTTGAGTTACTCTTCTGCTAATTTGCACAAGAGCATCTTTGCAGATATAAAATATTAATCGCCACGGGTGCACCCGACATAGGCTTCTCTCAGGAAGCAAAGGGTGTGTTAAATTACTTACAACTCATGCCAGGATGCATTGGAGTCCACCTGTCTCAAATGTACCTCGGGGATAGTGAAGTCCCCACTGAAAAGTCACATGCGGCATTGTGAGGATTTGAAAGGAAAGGCACTATTTTAATTGTGCCTAATTATCAATGACACAGCAGCAAGCACCCTGATTGAAGGACACCAAACATGCTTTGACTGTTTTAAAAAAGCTTACTTCGGGGCCAGAACGGTTCTCTTAGTTAGTTTGGCCAAAAGTGATTCATTTTGGTGGAAAGAAGATGGTCTCCTACTCCAGATTCTTCAAAAACACTGATTTGCTTTTCTTGTGTTGGGGAAGGTGCAAGAACAGACTTAAGAAACAACGAGAAGAAGCTGGCCCTGGACATGGCTACTAATGCGGCTTGTGCATCTCTCCTGAAAAAGAAAGAGGGAAGAGGTATTTGACTTGAATCCTTCTCTCTCCTCTCTCACGCCGTCAGGACTGACGTTTATCAGCTTAGAATTGGGGGGAAGTTTTCTTGGTAAACTTTTCCTGTGGTTCCGAAGTTAGATTTTACATCCTGGGTCTAATTTGGAACATTCAACATCAAAGAATACCTTCAGGCAAACACAGTGAAGAGTCTTTGGCCTTTTAGTACTTTCTGTGTGTTTCCTTTGTTCCTTGCAATCCAGTAGAATCACTTGCTTTCCATTAGAGCCCTTATCAGAGGACTGTGGTTTCCGAATCTGGTTGTACAAGTGATTGTCTCTAAATATTTACTTTTCAATTAAGCACTGAAGAGCTCCATAATTACATTTTATTCCGGTTTTAAACAAGAGTATCAGTAAACTACAATCAGAATTATTCTAGACGTAACTAATTTGACGTTTATTTACAGACTGTGGGGTGGTTTTTAAAGGTGAAGTTCAGGTATACATTCTTAGAGATAAAAATATCTATCCGCGTGGGAGATTGGGTTTGAAAAAAAAAAAAAAAACCAAAGGTCCTTGTGGTTATTTCAAAAAGCTGTTAAAGAAAAGGTGTGAAACACGCTTGCATTCTTCATGATTACTATTCAGAGACTGGCTGTTTATTGGACTTCTCTGTACATAATGTACTGAATGCTTCCCCCTGAAAGAAATTCTGGGGGGAGGTGCTTTACCCCTCCCCATTTTCCTTTCCTGTCTCTCCGTTTCATCCGCCATCAGTCTCCTGGCCCATGAGGAACCCTGAGGGAGGAAAAAGGAAAATACAAGATGTTTTGGTTGACAGTCTCTCTTCCTTCCCACTCCCCCCCACTTCTAAACCTTACTTTACTTTTATCTTGTGTTTGGCACTTTAATACCAGCATGGAGTATATAAGCCAATGATTGCTATACCTTGTCCACCATTTTCTAGAATGGAACTAGTATAATGGAGAACTCGATTTTCACATCTTTATTGAGCATTGCTACTCATCATTCCAACCCTTTTTAGTATTGCTTTTTAGAGTCTAAAGTTTAGCCTGGTCTGTGTTGATGGAGAATCACCAAAACAACTTCTGAGACGTTTCCAGTGTAGAGGCCCCGTGCATTTTTGTTTCTATGTTAACCCGATGGTGTTGTCACTCTCTGAGCTTGTGGAGTGAGGTACTGATTTCTGTTTTCCTCATATGAGTCACATTACCATTGGTTTTTGAACCCCTAGAAAGCTTCTCTCTTCCTTAAGCCCCCTTTGTTTTCTGAGAAGAGGCAGCATTATCTTGTCCCCTCGCCCTGTTCCAGCGGAAGCAACAAAATAAAATGAGGCCTCGGGTTTCCTGCTTTAGTTCATCAAAAATAGCAAACAGTCCTCCTCTTCGTGACTCGCCAAGGGAGCTTCCCAGAATTATCCTGCTCGCCCATCACCAAATTCCCATCATAGCCCTGCTCACGAGTCCGCTGGTCCTTCTGTTCTTTACTCCAGATACATCTTTGTTCCAGATTCTTACTTCTTTTAACTTCAGTTCAGATGCACTATAAACCGCTGAGCAGCTCAGGTTCCTGAATTATTTCATCCATGAATGCTCACTGGCAGAGCTGGTGTTTCTTTAAAGTAATTACTCATGCTTAGATGGATCGAGGGTCTGCTAAGCCAGCGGGAAAGTATGGACCAGCCGAGTGGTGCCCCCCAGTTATTTGTTGATTGAGAAGCCATGCATGCAGCCATGTGGGAGAGATGCTTTCACCTGGCATGCGCCTCTTCCTTCCTGCTGCCTTGGTTGGGTCAGGAAGTAGGACTATGGCCCAACTTCCTTTTTCTGCCACTGACTTCTTGTTGTTCTACGGGTACCTTCAGAATGTCCTGAGCAAGTAAGGTTTCTTCGGAGCTGGAGGTTATCAGAGTCTCATGTGTACTATGGGCTTGATCCTGGTAGGCAAGGAGAATGCCATGCTTGCCCAGACCCCAGAAGGCTCTACCCAGAAGCCTCCATCTGAGCATGCAGAGCTGGGGAAGGCAGGTCTGCTCTTTTTCCCCTCCCCTTTCTGCAGTCTTTGTAGAACAGGGCTAGGAGGTAGGTCTCTTCTTCTCTGTTCACACTAAGTGCCTTTGGTCTACTTTCCTAAATGTGTAATGATTAGATAATGGACTCATTAATGAGGTCATCTTAGGGCCTGACACACAGAGGCAAGAAATGAATTTTCATATTTCAGTTTTCACATTACCTTTTTCTTTCTTCTTGCTTCATTCCCTCAATCATCCAATAAAAAGTTTGAATTTGTATTGTGATCTGCGTGGGAATAGGATGACTCCGAGGAATAGTTTGTATAGTAGGGGAAGAATCAAGGCTTGATTTTCATCCTTTATGTATGAGTTTTTGAAATAATGTGTTGGTTCCTTATCATTCTCCAAAGAGGACTAGTGAATTCTCTTTGATGTGTGCTGAAATATTTGCTGTGTTTCGATCCATTATATTTAGTGTCCCTATTGATAGTTCCTGTCTGGTTAGTGGAGGAGGGCTTTTTAGGTTGGATCATGAACCTTTGTAACATGACACTCTCTTTGATAGAATCCTTGTTATTTATTTATTTATTTACTTATTTACTTATTTATTTATTTATTTTGAGAGACAGAGAGCAAGTGGGGAAAGGGCACAGAGAGAGGGAGCCACAGAATCTGAAGCAGGCTCCAGGCTCTGAGCTGTCAGCACAGAGCCCAATGCAGGGCTCGAACCCACGGACTGTGAGATCATGACCTGAGCCGGAGTTGGACGCTTAACCCACTGAGCCACCCAGGCGCCCTGATAGCATCCTTGTTTTATGCTGTGACAGGAGGTTTCAGGTCCTTCTTTTACATTTTCTGCCCCAGACTTGGAATCCGTCTGTCATATCTCCAGTGAGCACAGAGTATAGTAGTTAGAGAGCACGATAACATACCCTTGTTGAGCTCTGACAGTGCTTAGGTTTGCATTTCAGTTTGCCCCCTGAAATTATACCCCATGTAACCTGTTGCTTACAGGCATTTAACTAGACAGTCAAATAGGTAAACAGTTAAAGATCAGATGACTTTATCGGAACCCTGCTCAAGCTTGTTGTCACATATGGTAGGGTTTGGCTCTTTCTGTTTCAAACTTTTGTTTGCTTTTCTTATTTCATTCTTTTATCTCGGAGGGTACTTTATTTATCCATGCTTTTAAAGATGAAACCGAAGCTTCTGTGTTTTCATTCTCTTTCTTTTTCCTTTTTTCCCCTTCATCAGTTATCTTTCTACCCAGTGACCTTCCCTTCAGGTAAGGCTGCAGGCTGTTGACCGACCGAAGCCACGTGTGCACTTGTCATTGGGAGAGGAGGTTGGATGAGTGGAGGGGCTTCCGGCATGTTCCATTTCATGCAAGATAGATTAATGGCACCTCAGCACTACGTACTTTAGGGACATGCAGACTGCTGTGTTTGTCAGCCTTTATGACAGCAGACATTTGAACAGTCAGGCAGGAAAGCAAAGGTTGAAAAAGATCCTTGGGGGAAGTATAGTCCCCGGGTCTGAGGAAAGATTACGCCTTGTTGAGGTATCAGGAGCTTTGAAAGTGAAAACAAAATGTGAGCAGTCTGTAATTGTTCCCTTTTGCCTTCCCGCCATTCCTTTTAGATGCTGTTCGAACATTAAGCAATGCCGAGGAGTATCTTGATGATGAAGACTCAGATTAATTCCCTTCTGGAGCTTTGAGATCTAAAACTTCTATTGCCTTTGCCATTCCAAAACCCTTGTCTTTGCCAGAAGAGTGTTGGTAACTGTTTTTTGGTTGCTGTTGTTGTTGTTGGGTTTTTTTTTTTAAGTCTATATGAACATGGAAGTATTGCACTGTGTTTGAGTAGCACATGTAAATGAGTAGGTTCTCACCTTTAGTCTCACCTTTAGTTTGCCAATAAGTGACTGGATATTTTGCTGTATAAAGTACATTTTTGTTCACCAGAGTAGAAGAAGAAGAGATTATTTCTATTTATCAAGCTAAAGGAATTTTAAGAATTTTTCTTTAAAAAAAAAAAAAAAACCAGATTTTTTTTTTTTTTTAGTTAAAGTTCTTTACCTCAAGGATTGACATATTTTGAATGGATTTTTTTCAAGGGGGAGAATGCTTGTTATAATAATGAACCAAAAGACTTAACAGAAAATCGTCAGCTATTCTGACAAAAATAAACATTTTAAGAGACTGTATTCCTTTTGTCTGTTTTTGTGGTATCACTCTTTGCCAGTACATAAAGCTTTTTATATTTATATTTAGGAAAAGGCTGATCTTATTTTTTAAGTTGTATTTTGTACAATACAACTTTTGTACAATAGAGTTAAGATTCCTTTATTAGCACAAAGGAATCATAATAGCCAAATACCTGTTCAACTTTATATATTTGCTTTGATTAAAGTCCATAATCATTGAGAAGATATATTTATAATGAAATATACAACAGTAGTCATTGTTAGACCTGTAGTTTTATCTCTAAGGTTATACTTAGTACGGAGAAACTCAGCAACTCATTACAGTCTGCTGAAGGTCTGAAAGATTAAAAAAATTGATTTCCTTATCATGGAAGATGCTCTGGTTTTCTATAATGGAGTAGCCAGGAGCCATGAAATTTTTTTGTGTTTAGTTTTTCACTTTGAGAGCATTTGTTATCAAAGCATTTGTTACCCAGAGCATGGCTCAAGCTCATAAAAACTCAGCTTCTTTTGCGAAAATATCAGTTAATATTGCAGGGAGCCCTCTGTACTACTGAAAGACACTTGATTTGAGATTCTAATTTTGCATCAAGGTGGCGATGGCATTAAAAATGACATGGCCGTTGGCATTTGCCCCACTTCCAGGCCCTGGATCCAGAAGTGTATTTTGCAAGAAGACTTTGATGCAAATTTCAAAAAAAACATTGGTGAAGAGAAGGAAATGTTTGAAAACGGAAGTGGGTTAGCTCAGGAAATGAATAACTGCTACTGTGAGAGTTTTCTGTCTGTGACTTTGTTTTTTTTCTCTCTGTCGGTGCCTTGAGGAAGAGTATCCTGAGACGCCTGTTCGAGGTCTTTCGAATAACCAAATTTTAATAGAAAGAAATCTGTATAAGTAGGGAAAGCAAAGGATGAGCACAAAATCTAAAATTAAGGAGAAAGGGTATTTTCTCTTCAAAATAAATACGTTTACTAAATTTGAGTTAAGCAGTTATATTTCTTCATAAGCATAAACCTGAAGATATGATATCCTTGTTGAAATGATATCTGTTCTTCCAGAACCTTTAGGGGTTCATTCTTTAAAATGGGGTTTGTGGCGGGGTAGAGGGGGCCCTGGCTGGCTCAGTCAGTGGAGCGTGTAACTCTTGATCTCGGGGTCTTGAGTTTGAGCCCCATGTTGGGTGTGGAGATTGCTTACAAGTAAAATCTTTGAAATGAAATGATTAAAACAAAATATGGGATGTGTGCCTTAATAAAAAGTTTTTGGAAATCTCTATTTTTTTGTTTTTGTATGCTTTGGGCCTGGGGTGATTAGGATAGATGCCAGTTAAACACTTAAATTTTTTAACATGGGCAGAGGTAATACAGTTTGCATGAATATATGTAATGTTGGGGGGAAAATTCTCTGTGCTTGATGTAGGCATATTATTTATGTATTTAAGGAAAAGAATAGTGAGTGGCTTCACTGTCATTGCTTTTAACATTATCGACCTTATGAATATTCTAGAAAGTTGGCCAGACAGGGTTTTGTGGGGGTTGGGGTTGGACTTAGGTATACGCAGTGAGTTTCTGGTGAAACAAAAAAGGACAGCTTCATGTAGCCGTGGTTGAGACTTTATAAGAAAACTTACTTTTCCTTCTTGTTTATTCAGCCTCGCCGATCTGAGCTTTTTCAGAGACTCTTTAATGCTGAACTCAGCAACAAAAATCAGTTCTAAGAACTTGTCACCACTCTGATTCTGTGCAGAAGAGCTTTGATTACATTCTGGAAATGACTTTGGAGGTTTTGCTGTACCGTGAGCTTTTTGACAGTCCCTGTGGCCTGACCTCCTCCCCAGCCCATTGTACGCTTTAGATAGAGAATGTCTTCCAGCCCTTTGGGCTGTGAAATATATCAGCTTCCGGCCCTGTAGCCTCACGCAGAGAACGGTTTTCGGTTTTTATCAATTTCCCATTTTAGTTTCCTTCCTGGGCCTGGTCCGTGGCAAATTATTTGTTGTTGAGCTGCTGTGCACTACGTTTGTCAATTTCTTTATTTCTCTGGTGAGCAACCCCCACTGTCTTATTTTTTTTCAACAGAGTGTCCATGTTGTCACCCAAAAGGAAATATGAGACAGAAGTGCTACCTACTGCGCTAATGAGGCGCCTTCAAAAGGAAATAAATGTTAAGCAGAGTGGTAGTGACCTGATTTTTTCTTGATCTCAAAAGGCAAATAAGGCTGAAAATTATATCTCATAATTTTAGGTAGAAAAAATAAAATGTTTCCCTCTGAGCTTTCTTCATAAATGTTTTTATCGTGTAACATTTCCGATTTACCGCTATTTCTTCTTGAAGGCCTGTACCCCTCGTTTTTGTAAATGATGATTTCTTTTCTGATAGGCTATTCGGAGCCTAACATTTACATCAGCCTTTCTCTGTTGGCTTTCATTTTTATGCTGTAAATATGTCTGAATTTCATGCCGTAAACACGTCTGTAGCAGTAATACATAGACAGCCATATATCGTACAGCCAAACTTCAAAGTGTCTGGGTACTGAGAGTTGAGGTTTTGGTGGGAGAACTATTGCAAAATATTCTATTCTCCCTATTTGAACTGAAAATACAGCTTTGGTGAAGTTTTCTTAAGTGAAGGGAAAAAATGGCAGACCACAAATTTATGGTTGCTTTCTCCTTATTTCTTAATAACAAGGCTTTACATCTGCCCGTCCCTTAAAATGACATAAAATTAAATAAAACTACCATTTATTAAATGCCTCCCCTGCCAGTTCTTGTGCTAGGCAGTTTCATAGACATGATGTCATTTGATCGTTACAGCAGCCCCGGGCAGTGAACATTAAGGCCCCTGTCTTTTTACAGAAAAGCTGAGGTTTGAAGAAGTTAGGTAACTAGCTCCAGGTCACACTGTTGAAGGTGGAAGTGCAACGGGGCGCCTGGGTGGCTTAGTCGGTTAAGCATCCGACGTTCGCTTAGGTCATGATCTCGCGGTTGGTGGGTTCGGGCCCCGCGTCGGGCTCTGTGCTGACTGCCAGCTCAGAGCCTGGAGCCTGTTTCAGAGTCTGTGTCTCCCTCTCTGTCTGACCCTCCCCTGCTCACACTGTCTCTCTCTCTCCTAGAAATAAATAAAAAAAATATTTAAAAAAAAAAAAAGGTGGAAGTGCAGGTCTGGCTGACTCCTGAGCTAATTCACCTGCCGCCTAGTGCATCTGGCACGTGATGCCATTCATGGTTGGCCAGGAAAATAAAGCAGAAACAAGCCAGCCCCTTGATGTTACATCAAGCCCTTGATGTAACATCTAATGAATTCAGCATATCTGCTAATTTACCAAAATGTTTATTTTTGAGAGAGAGAGAGAGACAGAGCATGAGGAGGGGAGGGGCAGAGAGAGAGAGAGGGAGACACAGAACCTGAAGCAGGCTCCGGGCTCTGTCTGACCTGTCAGCACAGAGCTCAATGCAGGGCTCGAACTCAGGAACCGTGAGATCGTGACCTGAGCCAAAGTCGGATGCTCAACCAACTGACCCACCTAGGCGCCCCAACTATCTTTATGATTTTTTGTCTGATACTAAAAGTACCTCATACAAGTGGAATCATACAGTACTTGTCTCTTTTATGATTGGCTTATTTGTAGAAATGTCTTTTTGAGAGAGAGAGAGAGAGCAGGGGAGGGGCAGAGAGAGTGGGAGAGAGAGAGAATCCCAAGCAGGCTCTGCATTGTCAGCACAGAGCCTGATGTGAGGCTCCATCCTACGAACTGTGAGATCAGAACCTGAGCTAAAACCAATAGTTGGACGCTCAATCCAATGAGCCACCCAGGCACTTCCCACTTTTTTTTTTTTTTTTAAATAAAGGATTTTCCCTTTTCTCCCCTCGGAAAAATTTTGGCAGTACTTTTTGAATCCCACTACCCTGAAGAAGTATTTAGTGAACAAGTTTCTAAATTTCCTATCTAAGCACAGACTATAAAGAAATGCCAAACAAAGAAAGCCTCAATCGGCAGCCAATCCCCTTGCTCCGAGCTTGCACTGCTGCCTTCAATATTTCCCTCAGTCGGTCCGAGAGCTCCTCACATATTTCCATGTAACCATAAAAGAAATGTGTGCCTGGGAAGGGCCACAGGATGTTTTCTTACCCAAGTCTGGGAGCTCACTGTGGACATGCGGGTCACCTCCCACTTTCCAGGCAGTTCTGCTGATGTCTGCTGCCAGTGGCCTTCTGCTTGGGGCTCCCATTAGGCTCAGCCTTCTACCTACACTTGAACTGTCGCCACTGTGGGGGGGCTGGAGTGAAGTCAGGTTCCTGGCAGGGGCTGACGAAGAAAACCAAAGAAATCCAGAAGAATGAGTTGGAAAGCCCGAAAGGGAGCAGGAAGGAAAGTGGAAGAAGAGACAGGAGTAAAGAGGACGCACAGCAAAGTAAAACTGATGACCTTTTCTTTTTCTTTTTTAATGTTTTATTTATTTCTGAGAGAGAGAGAGGCAGCATGAGCAGGGGAGGGTCAGAGAGAGAGGAAGATACAGAATCCGAAGCAGGCTCCAGGCTCTGAGCTAGCTATCAGCACAGAGCCCGACGTGGGGCTCGAACCCATGAACTGTGAGATCATGACCTGAGCCGAAGTCGGACGCTTAACCGACTGAGCCACCCAGGTGCCCCACTGATGACCTTTTCTTAGTTACACATAGTTCTGATGCGAAATTGAAAGAACGCTTCCAGAAGTGGCTAAGAGTACAGACTTTGAGGTGGAACTCTCTGGATTCAAGTCTGGCTGTGCCGCTCCTTGCTGAATGACCTTGGGCAGGTTACCTAAAACATTCATATTCATTAGCTGTAACTGGGTTAAGTAAAAATACCTGTTGCCTGAAGTTAGAGGATTAAACCAAGTGATCTCATAAATGACTTGGGGTAGTGCCTGGCAGAGTGATTGCTTCATGAACGTTGGCTACTCCCATAAGTCCGAAGGAGGAAGTTTTCATTAAATAAATATGTGTGTGTATGAAAGATG